GGGCGTGTGTGCTTGCCAGAGAGACAGAGACAGAAAGCGAGAAATCACCCCTCAGGGTGGGATGGCCATGTTGCAATCCCTTCTCCTCCATTTTCCTCTCGGAATCTTGGGCACGCACGCACACGTGCCCGGCGTGAGTTTAAGCCAACGGGTCCGGGACTCAAACTGCAGTCGACTACATGGGAGTTCAGTGACATAGCCATTACGCTAACTGCTGGTCCTTTATGTTCATTCTTCATTTCAAGATGACATGTATTAAATCCACATGGACAGGTCCAGTCAGGGATATGTGAATGCCGGATGTGGCCCTGGTCTGTTGAACCCCATCTGAATTAACCAACCTGTACTGATGCACTAAGGCCACTTCTGAGTCCTGGGCATGAGATGTTGCCTTTGTGGTCAGAGAACACGCACCACACAGCAGAGCTTCCTTGCCTTTGTTCTCAGCAGTTCCTCTGTTTCTTTTCCCTTTGAATTATCCACCTCCTGTGTCTTCAACTTCTCTCTCTTTTCCCCTTGTCTTTAACCAAAGTTAAGTTCATCTCTTCCATACAAAAATAACCCCACTTTTCCCTATGTCCACAACGTAGTACTTCTCCTTTTCTCAACCAAAATGCATTTATTGTTTTCTGTTCATTTCTCAACTACTTACAATCTGCCTTTCTTTCTTAATTCTCCATGGAAGTGATTTGTGCGTAGTTCACTGATGACCTCTGTGTTTCAAAACTCAGTGGAAACAATCCAGTCTTTATTTTCTTCTTCTTTTCTTTCTTTTTTTGGACTCTCCGGGGCTTCCTGCTCTCTGACATCATACCCTTCTGATTCTCGTACTTTCGCAGTACTGTGCCTCTTTTGTGATTTGTCTATGTAACATTAAATGTCCATGTTTCCTGGGTTGCATGACTTGGCAAACTGTTTATAATCTCATTTTTTAAAAAGTATTTTCAGTGATTAGCCACATATTCAAAAGTTCCCAAACTTCTAATTCCCATGTAGACCCTTGTCTTCAGCTATGGGCTCAGAAATCCAGCTGTCTACTGGACACTTCCATCTCGGTATCATATGGTTTAAACAAAGCCTAGGTATCCCTGGCACATTCTTGTATGTTCCCTGTCTTCATCGGTAGCTCTGCAATACACTTAGCTAAACTTCAAGATTCTTTTCCAAAACTTCTCTAAACTTGGGACCAGCAGTCAGCGTAATGGCTGTCGCTGGACTCCCATGAGGTTCGCATCCCGGACCCAGTGGCTTAAACTCACGCTGGGCGCAGGTGCATGCGTGCCCAAGATACTGAGAGGAGAATGGAGGAGAAGGGATTGCGTTGTGGCCATTCCGCCAGGGGGTGATTTCTCGCTTTCTGTCTCTCTGTCTCTCTGTCTGTCTGGCAAGTACACGTGCCCTGTAGCAAAAACCTCTAAAAAAAAAAAAAAAACTTCTCTAAACTTTACTAACTCACTTCTAATAAATTACTGTATGTGTAGAGATCGTCTCTCAAGTATTTCTCAAATACTTTTCCTTTTTTCTTTCCCCACTGAGTAACACTAAGGTATTCAAACTGCCTGCATGTTACACACAGCTGTGATGGTGGGATCAAAGCACAGTTCTAACCACATTAGTGTCCCATCCCGGGTCTCACTGACATATCCAGAATGGCATATGTGGCCCCTGTCCCTCCCCTCCCACCACTCCCACCGCTATGTTCAGTAGAACCCAATTGCTAGCACGCTTTTCACATACCCTGCTCTTTGTCGTATCTTGGTTTTTGTTTTTGTCCTCTCCTTCTGGAATCCCCTCCCACTTCTTGTCTCTATTTCTGCCTTTTACCTGGATAACTCCTGTGTAAGATTTGGTTCAGGCCTTATTCCTCAAGTCTTTATAACTCTTCATTGATATTATTCCTTGACACTCAGGTTAACTAGTCTTTCTGGGCTCATCAGTGCCTCCCCTATTATCATTCTTGTGCCGTATGTTACAATCGGCTTTGTAGGTTCTTAACGTCCATCTTCCCTACAGACTCTGAGCCCAACGGGGCGAAGACTGTGTCCATAGTAGGACCCGGACAACCCCAGTTCTTAGCCTAGTGGCTGCCACATGGTTGAATTTAATACATATCTCAAATGAACAAATGTATCTTTTACTAGAATGATTGAATAGTCACTTAGTGAGTGACATGAACAAAGGTATCGTCAAATATTTAATGACTCTAACAGATTGAGGGTTACTGGCTTATCCCATCAGCTCTCTGCATTCCTGGGGGCCTTTGGCCTTACATCCTGCCGTGAAAGGACTGAATGGAAAGTAGCACAGCCACTGTGGCCAAGAACATAACTGTTTGTTCCATTTTTCTCATTTTCACCTTGTTTTAATTATACTGACATCCAAGAACATTTCAAATGCATTCTGAAAACTAATTAACAATGCAATGAACACATATTTGTTAAATTAAGTGTTTTAGTGTCAATGCTTATGGTAATTTTTTTTCCTCCATGACTGTGGTACACATCCAAAGAAGAGGTTATGACCATTGTTTTATTTAACCATGTTTACACATTCCTATTCCCTTACTCTAAAGAGGTTTTCAACAGAATTAGAATGTTCTTGGACTTAGTAACACCTGTGTGTGGTAAACGTTGTTACTTCTACCACAAAACTAACCATGAGCTGACATGGTCTAATAATACCCATTACATGTTTATTTTATATTGTAATATCTATTTGTACTCTGGTAGACCTGAGCCAAGTCTTAAATGATCAGCTTACATAACTGGCTCTAGTAGACCAAGACATAACTAAGCTTCTCATTGTTTAAAGTATATATATATATATATATATATATCTTCAACTACAATGTGTAGGGATGTCAAGTTAATTATAAAATGAGAACCTTTTGATATAAAGGTTTAAAGAAAAAATTTAATATGAACCATGTCATGAAATTCAGAAAATATAATTTTTTGGACTATGTCCTAGTGACTTGGAATAGCTCAGAATAGAAAATAACTTACTTTCACAAACCACACAGTGCTAACGTCATGCTTTCAGGTAAGGAAAACTTCTGTAATCCCACTGTAGTTTTCTAATCGTGAAATGTATTCACCACAATTCTTCACTATGCTAATGATGGCTAGTGTGTACTGTTGTAGTTTTGTATATCCGCAAAGATTTTGAGTTAACAATCTAAGAGTCTTTTTCTTTTTTTATGAAGGACATTTTTAAATGTAAGTGTATGTTGTTTGTGGTAATAACACATGCACAATAAAAAAAAAATGGAGGGGCCAGCAGGTGGTATGGTGGTTAAGGGCACTGGACTCCCACATGGCCGACCATGGTTTGAGTCCTGAACCTGGCAGCTTGCTCTCTCTCTCTCTTTCTCTCTCTCTCTCATTTTATCTCTCTGGTCAAATAAAAAAAAATAAGTAATTATTTAACTAAGAAAAGATAATAGCACATGCACAATGAAAACCAAAAGCTAGAAAAGGAGTTACATTTCCTACTTGAGTGGACAGGTCCAACAATCAAGCATTTTGTGCAATGACTCTTATAGTTTCAACTTATCATGAACTACTCCAAACTCACTATGAGATACAGTTAAAGTCCAAAGAAAGTCATAGGGAGCATATTCCTTTTTTTTCTTTTCTTTTCTTTTTTCTTTTTTTGGAGGAGGCTAAGCCTTCCAGAACCAGCATGGGAAATAAACATCCTGTTGATTACTGCAGTAAAAAATTAATGTAGCCAATTTCAACTCATTTTAAGGTGACTTCTGTTTTTCACTGACTTGTTTGGTATCAGTCTTCTTTTTTTGGAGAGTTTTTTTGCTATAGGGTATGTGCACTCAGCAGAAAGACAGTGAGAGGCAGAGAGACAGAAAGCAAGAAATCACTTCCCAGGGGGGTGGCCACGCTGCAATCCCTTCTCCTCCATTTTCCTCTTGGGATCTTGGGCACGCATGCACGCATGTCTGGTGTGAGTTTAAACCACCGGGTCTGGGACTCGAACCGTGGTTGACTACATGGAAGTCCAGCTACATAGCCATTACACCATCTGCTGGTCCCCGTATCAGTCTTGTACATCAAGAGTGTTTAATTCTTCTAATTTACCAAAAATTTTCCTAATAAATGTTTTTATCAATAGGAACAGCATCAAGAACTCCATTTTCCTATCGTTCCCCTTTGGTGGTGTCTTAAACATTACTTCTTTCACCATTTCAGCCCTACTTCTGGAAGACTCACTTAACTGTTCATCTCTGTCTGAAGTTTGTGTGCTCAATCTGTCAAGACTGGCTACAGCAATGTCTGTATCACCCAAACCTCATGATATTCAGGCTTAAATCTATGTCGTTTATGCTCCCTGAGTCTTCAGCCTCATTACCACCTACTTCCTGGGTGGGTATGTGCACTCAGCAGAAAGACAGTGAGAGGCAGAGAGACAGAAAGCAAGAAATCACTTCCCAGGGGGGTGGCCACGCTGCAATCCCTTCTCCTCCATTTTCCTCTTGGGATCTTGGGCACGCATGCACGCATGTCTGGTGTGAGTTTAAACCACCGGGTCTGGGACTCGAACCGTGGTTGACTACATGGAAGTCCAGCTACATAGCCATTACACCATCTGCTGGTCCCCGTATCAGTCTTGTACATCAAGAGTGTTTAATTCTTCTAATTTACCAAAAATTTTCCTAATAAATGTTTTTATCAATAGGAACAGCATCAAGAACTCCATTTTCCTATCGTTCCCCTTTGGTGGTGTCTTAAACATTACTTCTTTCACCATTTCAGCCCTACTTCTGGAAGACTCACTTAACTGTTCATCTCTGTCTGAAGTTTGTGTGCTCAATCTGTCAAGACTGGCTACAGCAATGTCTGTATCACCCAAACCTCATGATATTCAGGCTTAAATCTATGTCGTTTATGCTCCCTGAGTCTTCAGCCTCATTACCACCTACTTCCTGGGTATGACAGGTGTCACTGCTTCCCCCTCATTGACCAGGTCAGGGTAAAATTCAAAATAGTGTGGAGCGCTTCATGCCCTTGTGTGTCCTCCTTGCCCAAGAGCCATGCTAATCTTATCTGTATCGTTCCAGTTTTAGTATGTGTGCTGCTGAAGTGAGTCCTGACAATGGGTTTTAAATCATCTTTGCTGTATGTTTGGCTCAGAGGAGGAAATACTGCTTTTCTCTGTTGTTATCTGGAAACGGACAAGCTCCATGACAGCTATTTATCTGTAATTTACTTCTAAGCATGTACCAGTGGGTATCTCAACCTACAAGGTCTTCATGGAATATGTATGTTACAAAACAAGTGTGCATGAATTTCAAAATTTCTTGCACCAAAATAAGAATAATTTTCTCCCTTATTTTCCCCCCCCCCACAGGGTACATGTGTTTACTGGTGACAGAGGGAAAGTGAAATATCACTCCCCCGAAGGGGATGACCACATCACAATCCCTTCTCCTCCTGGGATTTTGGGCACACAGGGCATGCACACACGCCTGGTGTGAATTTCAAGCTGCCAGGTTCAGGACTGAAACTGCAGTCGGCCATATGGGAGTCCATTGCCTTAACCGCCATGCCACCTGCTGGCCCAAGACTTGTATTTTAATCCCATTTTCTAAGAGCTTTGTGCAGTGTCCTGGTAGTTATGGGAACAGCCACACAAGCAGTCAGCAGTAGGCAGTGTGCTCTCAGGGGGCCCTCTGTCCTCCTCTTCCTCCTCCTGCTTTTCTACACTTTGGTCTAACTGCTCATGAGGTTCCAGGGACATGCAAGCAGCCTTTAATTGGTTTTCTTTTAAAAGGCCTTGTTGGGACCAGCAGTTAGCGTAATAGCTATGTTGCTGGACTCCCATGTAGTCAACTGCGTTTCAAGTCCCGGACCCAGTGACTTAAATTCACACCGGACACATGTGCGTGCTTGCCCAAAATCCCAAAAGGAGAATGGAGGAGAAGGGATTGCAGTGTGGCCATGCCCCTTGGGGGGTGATTTCCCGCTTTCTGTCTCTCTGTCTCTCTCTGTCCTTCTGGCGAGTACACGCGCCCTCTAGCAAACCCCCCAAAAAAAAAAAAAAAAAAAAAAGAGAAAAGGCTTTGTTGACTGGGAAGCCTGACTTGTACTTAAACTCTGCCCTCTTTGCAAATGTCAGGCTTTCCCCAGAGTATTCCAGAGGAAATGTTGTCTATTTTGGACACAATTATTGAATCAGATTAGATTACAGAGAGCACCACCCTCATGGCTCAATGCTGATACAGCAGCTTTGGTTTTTCATTGTTGTTCAAACATTTTGGAGGCTGGTTATTGTTGGGACCACTTTTACAACTACACATCCTCCTGTGGTTCTTGTTTCCCCCTGGAGCAGGCCACGGGGCCTACGGCGGCAAGGTGGTTTCTTTGAGGAAGATGCCTGAGACTTAGGGAAAAAGATTTTTTTCGATACTCAGACATTTCGTGTTTATAACTAACTTTGGCTCTTCTCCCCCTTCAGGAATCTGATTCTTCCTCATTCCCCTCTTTGGTCACACATCTCCCCTGGCCAGCTCCCATGTAGGCTGGTTGATGATGCTTCATCGTCCACATTGACCAACTGCTCCTTTGCCCGCTCAGGTGCAGGTTGAGAAGACCTCATCCCCTCTTCATTCTCATCATCGATTGCAGGGCCAATTCTTCAACCTCAGGCACTTCTGCTGGTCTTGCAAGACCGCCTTCAACCACGGCGTCTCCTCTTCCTTCTGCAGCTCCTGAAGCCGGCTCAGCATTGACTTCATCATGCTGCTGCCCGCTGTGGCACTCGGTCAACAATGTAAGAACCTTGAGATTACTAGCTACATGGGTCCTGCCGTACTCTCTCTTAATTTATGATTTATTCCAATCATACTTAAAAAAAATAGCTTTACTGATATATTAAGTTGTAGGAGAAGTCATGATGTGTTTTTCCATTTTCTGCGCAAACATGCATCATGACTTTTCCAACGACCCAATATAATTCATATAGTATAAAATTTACCTTTCAAAGTATACAGTTCAGTGATCGTTGGTATATTCAGAGAATTGTGCAACCATCACCACTGAGCATTACTAAAACTGGCCCAAAACACACAATAGTCTGGCTAGCATCGCAGACCATTCCAACTCTTACGTTCCTGGCCTGCTAGCTCTCAAATTCCATCGCCATCTGTTCCCTGGCTTTGGTTCCTTTTTTCATTTAACACTTGCTTCTGCCCTGGAGATTTGGCATTCATGTCTTACTTCATTCCTGATAGTCTTTCTTCCTTCTTTTCTTTTGCTTTTTCCTCTTTCTTTCTTCTTTCTGTTTTAGAGAGATTTTTGCTGTAGGGCATGTGTGCTCACTAGAGAGACAGAGAGAGAGAGACAAAAAGGGAGAAATCACCCCTGTCCCCAGGAGATGGCCACACTGTGGTACCTTCTTCTCCATTCTCTTCTCAGGATCGTGGGCATACACATACGTGCCCGGTGTGAGTTTTAAGCCACCGGGTCTGGGTCAGACTTTAGCTGACTACATGGGAGTCCAGCAATGTAACCATTATCCCATCTGCTGGTCCTACATGACAGTCTTTTAAAGACTTTGATTTAGAACTGTTTACCAGTTCTCTCTTTCTGGTTATCTCTGAAGGCTCTCTGCCTTACTGGTTCTTTAAGAGTTTATCCACGGGGGTCAGCAGGTGGCATGGTGGTAAGGGCACTGAACTCCCACATGGCTGACCATGGTTCAAGTCCCAGACCTGGTGGTTTACTTTCTCACTTTCTCTCTCTCTCTCTGGCCAAATAGTACATATATACATACATAAAGTCAAGTAAAAATAATTCTTTTAAAAAAATCTATCCATGGACATAGCCTATCCCAGCCCTTCCAGCCAGGTAACTGTTTCTCTGCAAGAAATTCTTTCAAATATTTTGCCTCCAAAAATATTTGAGTGCCTCCTGGCACTCGGTCCTTGATGAAGCTACAACAACATGAATGAGCTCTGAATCTCTCTCACAGGTGAAGGAAGAATAGAGAGCGTATATATTTTAGGACCTGCTTTCAGGAATTGAGACTTGCTGCAAAGCTGGGCACAGAAAGATACAAGGTATGCCCAGGGAAGGGACAGATGAAGTGCCTATGGCTCCTGGGTTTTAGATCATTCCTTAAGATTTCACGTGGTGATTCTTAGGATGAACAATGTCATGGATTTCATACTGGAAGTGAGAGGGCGTGTGTGAGGGAGCATTTGGGGTTGTCACGTTGAATGGGACATTGCTAAAGTTGAAAGGGCAAAGTGCGGAGATGCTAGTCCTGCGATGCACAGGGCAGCCCCACACAGTGTTGCTGGTGCCCTGCCTGCCTTTGAATGCCCAATGGGGAGCATGAAAAAAATATGTGTCATCAAGTATTTAATGAGGCTGGAGACTATTTAGCCAACCAGCTCTCTGCATGTCTACAGTCATTGGCTTTATGCCCTTCCCCAACCAGTGATTGAGCCTAAACCCTGTCCCTGCCCTTTTAAAGATATCCTCCCATAAAAGGGCAAAACTCGACTCTCAGGGTGTGTAGTTCACAAACCTGACCCTGGGGAGGGATAATTCTTCTCTTCCCCTGTCTCAGCATAACTGGTTATGTGGCCCAGGAATAGTGGTTTGGGGGCAGCTCTCTTATGTTGGAAAGAGTTTCTGGGCCAGCGTGTGGGTTCAAGTTCAGCTGAAAACTGAGAACGTGAGCCCTGGACAGTGCCCAGACCACCTGATCTCCTGTTTTCCAACTTATTTATAGAAGGTACTGAGGAATTCATCAAACTTGCTTTTACCCCAGTATTATCCACTGAAAAAAGGGGGTCATCTTACTACCTGTCCTACAGGTTCATTTTGGGATGAAATGTGCCAATAAATGTAAAGTGTTTGTAAGAAAATCTGGTATATAGTAAATAATATGTTGCCTATTGTTTTTTGGATGTCTACGTCACTGATGATTTACCTTGAAATATAATTTTAGACATATATGTAATTTTTAAATTTTTATAAAGCAAAAATTATATATTTTCCCCCACAGAGAACGTTACATTTTTTTGTCTGTCTATTAAATGTTTCTTCCCTTTATTCCACCTACCCACCTTCTGTCATTTATCCCCTCCCCTCCCTTACAGTCTCTGGTATCTACACTTATCCTCTCTACTGCAATCTCTTTAGATCTTTCCATTTCTGCCATAGAATACAGACATTTGGTACACATTGAGTGGGGATATACAGTTTGTATCGTTCCAAATCTGATTTACTTCTCTTAACATTAAGTCCTCTATATCCATCCACTTTCAATCAAATGATAGAGTCTCATGGTGTCTTATGGCAGAGGAATATTCCATAGTGTATATGTGCCACAGCTTTTTAACCCAGTCATCAAGTGTTGGACACTTAAGTTGATTCCATCTTTTAATAACTGTGAATAAAGCTGCGATAAATATGGATTTGCGAGTGTCTGTCCGACTGAGTGTTTTCCTATCCTTTGTATAAATACCAAAGAGTGGGATTACTGGGTCATGTGGTGGTTCCATTTGTAGATTTTTGAGGGACTTCCATATTGTTTTACACAGGTGTTAATTTACGTGCCCACCAAGAGTGTAAGAAGGTTCTCTTTTTGCCACAACATCACCAACACTTGTTGTTCTTTTTTTCTTCATTTGATGTTAGTTATTCTAGCTGGGGTTAAATGGCATCTCATTGTAGTTTTGATTTGCATTTCCCTTGGGAAGTTTAAATGCCACATCAGCACTAATCACTAGATTTAAGACCTTGGGCATTTCACTTCATCCAGCTGACTTTATGTTTCTCTCTGATAAGATAAGATTATTAATTCCTTGAGGACATTATGCTAAAGGACTATAAGCTAGTCACAGAAAGAGAAACACTAAATGATTTCACTTATATGAGATTTCCAAAGTAGTCAAACTTCAGGGGAGGGTGGCGGGAGGGAAGGTAGAATGTTTGTCAGGGACTAGAGGAAAGGAGAAATAAAAAGTTGCTACTCAAAGAGTATAAAGTTTCAGTTGGGGAAGTAGTTCTAATGCTAAATGTCCTTACTACAGAAGGAGAAGGAGAAAAAAAGGGAAGAGGAGGAAGAGGAAGTCGA